GGTAGAGCTCTAATAAAAAAATAGTAGGTTGGTAGTAGTGGTTTAGTGGTGTATTGTTAGTGCGTAGTAGTGTTCATCATGCAGATCTGTTTATCTCAACACACCATCTATCTCTCGGTTATCTCCAGGGAGCGGCGACATGGACCGTAAGCGCATGGGAGGAAGCTCGGTTGGAGGAGAAACCTTGTGCTTGAAGGCATGTATATATGTCTTTATAGATCCTTATTATTAATGGAGCAATTTCTTCTGACTGTTTTATAGGTAGAAAACCAGAGAACAAGAACATGGTTTCAGTTTGTGACTTTGGAAGCATAAGTTTGTATAATATATATAGTATCTATATATCTATATATATATAGTGTATGAGAATCGTGGTGAGTTGCAAATAGGGACCAATGACCTTTATCAACAGCCAAACAGAATATTTTTTTTGGTCATTGGTCCTTGGCCCCTTATTTATCCCCCGTGACTCTTATTCAGCTCTTCCGCTGGTTTCTCCCTTATTATATATTAATTTCATTATAATCTGTGGTTTGGATATTTTAAAACTGTCTAAGATTATAGCTATTGGATATTTTATATATGGCACTTTAAAGCTTTTAAGACCTGCAAGTTGCACCTAGCAATTTGTATGACATTTATTCTATAATGTACAATTTTTAAAATAATTATTACTGCTGTGTCTTTTATTCTTGTCTCTGGTTTTGACTTGGAATATCCAAAAATTAACATAATTTTGAGTTATTTGTTACCAAAGTAAATATGAGCTTAACTTTCAACATTGAGTTTAAAATCACAATGTTCTTCGCCATCACTTCGACTCAGCCTCATGAACAGTCTTCTTGGGGAGAAACAGTGAATGAGCTGATATCCCCTTCGAGACAGCGAGGCCTGTTGATAGCTGGCAGACAAGCAACCAGACCTGCTGAAGAGACTGTGGAGGAGCTTAGGAGGATGCAGAATGTGGCGTATACCCAGAAGGACACTCTGGAGTATGAAAACGAGCCAATAAGTGCCAAGTACAACGATACAACCTCAGAAGACAGAAATCCCATGAATGTCAGCATTTTAGTAGAGCATCAAATATATATTGAAGTATATCATTTATATTGTGTGTTTCTGTAAAAAATTTGGTGTGCCCTTGGTGGTACTGATTTTTCTATTATTAAACTATGATTTGTTTCCTTCTATACGTGGCGAAAACATGAGATAATGCTAAATAAACTTGAATAGCAAAAAATAGCACAACATGATAAGCTCTCCCTCTCCTATCAAACTATGTTCTCCACATTTTTAATAAGTGCTCAATAGTAATTAAATTGTATAGGTTGTGAATCACAAGAGTATAGTTTGCTGAATCATCTACATGACAACTGAAATAAATAGGAATAAATAAAGAAAGAACACGAACTGATCATTGTTGGGACATACTTGTGTTGTGTCATTTTGTACGTACCCGAAAAAAAGTGTTTCATTTCTGTGAGACATGCCTGGATCAGTAGTTCAATGGATGATACTATCATACTGCCATGCTGTATCTTTTAAACCACTTTGCAAGCCTCAGTTAGACCTTGCCTAAGTTTTATTTATTCTACTGCCCTTCGGCAAATACAGTATGTCCTCACCACCACAAATTAGCGACTACTGGACAGCACTCTGTCATAGTATCACCCTGAAAACTTGGCTTCTAAGTCTTTTCACACAGTGACAGTGGGAATAGAATTAAGAGAAAGAGGGAGAAGAATATAAAGAGAGAGGTGCTGAGGAAGGAGAGGGTTGAAAGCAAGGCTGTAATCCAGGCCAGTGTGCATTGCCTTTTCTTATTCCTAGTCTTTGACCCTCGAACGCCCCCCGCTCGCTAAGGAGAAGCTCTCTCACTTTTTCAAAGAACATAAGACCTTTCTCCCCGCCGTCTGAATAAGAAGCATGAAGCGAGGTGTGTGTTTTTTCGTCACAAAGGAAAATCCGCGGAGTGAAAATTTATTTCTAAAGTGACTTTGCCGGGTCGTAGGAGCCAAAACACATTAAAATGGCGAATGCAACTGGCCATCTCTACGTACAAATCCTGAAAGATAGACAGATAAGCCTAACATTAATGTCTATCTGTGGTGCTGCTGTGGTGCTGTGTGTGTGTCTGTCTCTGTGCTGGTGTGTGTTTCGTCGTGTTGTGTCGTTGTGTGTGTGTGTAAATGAACTTGTGTGTAGAGTTGTGACAGAATGAGGTGATGCATTATGTGCTTGCATCATGGATTAATAATTGAACTAACTTCTTTGCGAATCACAGGTTAACTCTCGCACTTTGATACGTTGGCCACAATAATAATGGCACCACAATACAGGTGATACTGCAACATAGGATGTAATGAAATCATGATATCTGTAACTGAAGGGGAAAACAATGCTGAAATGGCATCAGTTTTCTTTATGAACACCAAACAAAACATTAAAACTTAATCAAGATATTATTGATTATCAATGCATTATTTTAAGATGTCACGTTATTGTTTACAGTTGGAGCAATTGGGGAGTGAACTGGCAGCAGACAGAGAGTCACTCCGCAGCGCTGAGTCACTCAGTACTGATTTGATGAAAGAGAAGGCTTTGCTGGAGAAGACTCTGGAAACACTCAGAGAAAACTCTGAGAGACAGGTACAAACACACACACACACAATGATTTCATTTGAAGTTTATCCCAAAACCTGATGGTCACCATGTTAAATTAGTGGCACGTATTCTTGATTTCTACCATCAGTAGAAAATGTGTGGAGTATTTAGGAGTATTAAATCCTCTGAGTGATTATGTTTGTGTGCTATTTTTCCAGAGTGCCACATTTTTGCTGAATAACTATTGACTAATTAGACCCCCTGTGTTCAAGATGCCAGACCAAGTTAGCACAGTTAACCTAATATAGAATGACTATAATAGCATTCATCTGCTTTAAAATACAGTTAACGTTGCAGTCTGCAAACTGGTCAAGCATATGGTCGGATACACCAACACAGTCAGACAAACAGGGCTTTGAGACAGGGCTTACACAACCATCATTGATTCTTGTTCCAGGAAACTCCGAGAAAAGAACATGACTAAGCTGTGTAATTTACTCAAGTCTATACAGAGTTTTCTTGAGAGAAATCTTTGTGAAATTGATTTTTATTTGGCTCAAAAAACTATTTAAGTGGTACTACCACTATGTTTTATTGACTACACAGATTTCTGGCACTCTGTGGCCCAGATACAGTCACTCTGTGTGTCTGCAGGGACTTTAAAGCTGTTAGACCCAAATCTGACACCTTCGATTAGTTTATCCATCTGATTTGTAAAATCCGGCCTTGATGAGCTAGAAAGGCAGTGAAGACACAACATGCTGTACTCACAACTTACTGTGGGCAATTATCTCCAGTTGGTTATTAACATAATGAGATGTTACTAATGCAGTGCTGTTCCAAAACACATGATATTCAAATGAACTGTAGTTTTGTATAACCCTTATAAGATGGTGTTGTGTTTCTGCATTTCAGTTCTGCTCTTTATTTCCCCTCTATAATTAACCTAAATGAAAGTTGCAAGCAAGTTGGTGCTTACTATTAATTTCTTAAATCTCATCAGCTCATACAAGTAGTCTCATGCTATAAACTTTACTGCACTCAAGTTTATGAGTGAATTTCTTATATTAAACATGACCCTAAGCCATCACTGAAACTGTCTGTTCTGCAGATGAAGGGTCTGGAGCAGGAGAACAAGCACCTGGGCCAGACGGTGTCGTCTCTGCGTCAACGCTGCCAGGTTGGTGCTGAGGCCCGGGTCAAGGATGTGGAGAAAGAGAATCGCATTTTGCACGAGTCAATCTGCGAGACAACCGCCAAACTCAATAAGTTGGAGTTTGAAAGGAAACAACTACGTAAGTGTTGTTTTCTAATCATTTTTGTGGTTTACTTCAATAAGGGTGGATGTGTGTTTTTTTTTTTTTTGTAAAGGTAACTTTAGTATCTGGTTTCCTTTTCTCTACATCAGATTCCTTGTTTTTTAATTTTGAATTCACAGGATTGGGTTGTTTGGAAGAGTTAATGTTAGTATCTTTGTTTTTTTTTTAAATACAGGTAAAGAGCTTGAAGTAATGAAGGAGAGAGGAGAGAGAGCAGAGGAGTTGGAGATTCAGATCCAGAAGCTGCAAAGAGACAACGAGAGCCTGCAGAAGAAAGTTGCCAGCCTTGGGATCACCTGTGAAAAGGTCCGGTGCATTTAGTTACCCATATTCACTCTAATTCACTATTTGATTTACTCTTGGAACATTTGTAGTGCAAAAAATGTGGAATTCGATATGACTGCAACATTTTTAATGACTTCATATTAAACATTAAAGCATTATCTAATACTACATTTGAAGCTGTGCCAGCAGCATAGAATAAGGCTACCATATCACAACACAACATCAGACAGTTAATTTACTGCTCATCTTTATAAATCACTTCTGTGTGTGTAGGTGTCTTCTTTGGAGAAGGAGAACACTGAGCTGGAGGCAGAGGGCCGTCGTCTGAAGAAGAAGCTGGACGCTCTGAAAAACATGGCCTTCCAGCTGGAGGCTCTGGAAAAGGAGAACTCCCAGCTGGAGCAGGAGAATCTGCAGCTTCGGCGCTCGGCCGAAAGCCTCCGGTCAGCAGGGGCTAAGGCCGCTCAGCTGGAAGCGGAGAACAGGGAGCTGGAGAGTGAGAGGAGTCAGATGAAGCGCAGCCTGGAACTGCTCAAAGCCTCGTCCAAGAAGACGGAGAGATTGGAGGTAAGACTTCAAGTCTGTTGGTCTGAAGAGCAGTGAGTTGCAGCTAAAATCATCCATGTGACTACACAAGCTCGTACAGACTAGTTGTAGACTTATATCTTATGTCCACTATAGGGTACGCCTTGGTTCGACTCTGCCTCTACTTAGTTTTTCACTGTAGATAGTACTTTGGATGGTACCTCTTCAACATAGGCGGAGCTTAGCATCAAACCGAAACAACACACAGGAGTTTACTTTGGCCTTGAGTTGCTGCTGCCTTTATTCCCTGACAAACTGTAACCTAAACTGTACATTTACTGACAGATTGACAACTTCACTGCTCTCTTTCCCTATGCACTGCTCGCATTCACCACTTGCTCTCTCTCGCTCTGTCTCATGCTCATCCACCCACTATGTACGTACACAAAAAGAAGCTGTCACTCTTATGACAGAATATATGAGGGGGTGGTGTTCTTGATACGTCTCCACTTCATCAATTTACCATAAAAAAAATTCTGGTCGCTATTGATAGAAGCTTGGCGATTTAAAAATGCATGACTTGTGCAGGTGGTCTCGTGTTACACGACCAATCAGTGGTCTGCATTGTTTTCACGTCACCTTTTAGTATCAGCTCAGCTCGTTTGGAACATTGATGGAGGTGGTACCAAAAAAGTTTAGATACCAGGTACTATCCATAATGGAAAACCAAAAAAAAGGTGACAATGTGGTGGCATAGCAGCCTTAAAGGCACCTTACACCATAAATTTATTATCACCAATGAATATTTTTGCAGGTAAGTTACAGGGGATCTGGCATATAATAGCATCAGGGAGCGGCACAACTAGTTCATGAATGCTTTTAATATCCTAATCTGGCTTTTTCTCTCCCAGATGAGTTACCAGGGCCTAGATACAGAGAACCAGCGCCTGCAGAAGGCCTTAGAGAACAGCAGCAAGAAGATCCAGCAGTTGGAGGCAGAGGTGCAAGAGGTGGAGACGGAGAATCAAACTCTACAACGCAACCTGGAGGAGCTCAAGATCTCCAGTAAACGCCTGGAGCAGCTGGAGCAGGAGGTAGTCAAAAAAAAACACAAAAAAAACATATAGGCTACATTAAATCAGCAGCAATAATCACATGTGCTGACATGTGGGAAAAGGCTGCGTTAAGAAATTAGACACATTTTGGACTGCACTCGGTCTGGAGCATAAGAGGTACAACATCAAATGGGATAGCTGTAGGTGGTTTACTGACACAGCCTCAGTTACTTATTTTGGGATGGTCTGATTCTGCTTGGCAGAATGGGGTCATTCAGATTGGCCCAAAAACTGTAGTTGAGGCAGAGAGTAATGCAGAAAGTAGTTTATGACACAGCACATCTCGTTTGTTTATTAAAATTAGTCAAAATGTGTTATTTGGCACTCGAGCAGCACTGCCACTTTTTTTTTTAGTTTATTCTGATAAAATCAAAGCATGTTTTCCAGCAGAGTTGGATTATCCCAGATTATTTTTCAAAATTGATTATTGACCCTTTGAGTTAATCTATGTCCTCTTTTAGCCAAACATGTATTTACAAGGCATTTAGACTAAAAGTAATCCCATCAAATGACGTTTTATCTCTCCATTACCTCCCGTCACCCCCCCAGAACAAGACTCTGGAGCAGGAAAGCTCCCAGCTAGAGAAAGACAAGAAGCTTCTGGAGAAGGAGAACAAGCGGCTGAGGCAGCAGGCCGAAATTCGCGACTCCAAGCTGGATGACAACAACCAGCGGATCTCCAGCTTAGAGAAAGAGAATCGAACCATGGGCAAGGAGATGATCTTCTTCAGGGACTCCTGCACAAGGGTCAAAGACCTGGAGAGAGAGAACAAGGAGCTGGTCAAACAGGCCACCATTGATAAGAAGACCCTCATCACACTCAGAGAGGTAAGACTGGCCCTCACGTTGTTAGTCTGCAAATATTAGTGTTCCCTAAACTGAGACTTATTTGTTTTTTATGATCATTTGTTGATACTGGAAGTGTCAAACAATGTAACTGAAATGAAATACATGCTTGCTTTGTTGACGTGTTTTGGTGGGAAGTTATTGAAAACACAGAAACAAAGATGATTGTTGGTGGGAATTGATTCTTATTATTAATTCTGATATTGACTTACTTACTCTGATACTGACTCTTTTCTATTTAAATCATGCATCTTCATTATTAGTTATTATGAATAAATGGAAGGCGAGTTACTCAGTGTGTGCGTGTGTATGTGTGGTGTGTGTTTAGGAGCTTGTGAGTGAGAAGCTGCGGACTCAGCAGATGAATAATGATCTGGAGAAACTGACCCATGAGCTGGAGAAGATTGGACTGAATAAGGAAAGGCTGCTGCACGATGAGAGCTCTGACGACAGGTAAATGAATCACAAACAATATTCACTGATGGCTCTTAAAACGGTTTCAGGTTACAACTAAAATAAGTACTAACATATTGGCATCAGAATCATTTAAACTGATCAGTAAAGTTGGGATTCTAAATAAATCAGCCATTTTAGATCAAGTTTAGAAATAATTGAGTTTATTGCAGAATCGTCCAGTGGGAGGTTTTCTGAGCCCAATGAACACACAAAGAGCTTAACTGAGTATTTATTTTCAGGTTTAGACTCCTGGAAACCAAACTGGAGTCGACACTGAAATCATCTTTGGAGATTAAAGAGGAGAAGATCGCCGCCCTGGAGGCCAGACTGCAAGAGTCCTCAAACCTCAACCAGCAACTTCGCCAGGAGCTCAAGACGGTTAGTAACACACACACACAGATCCATGCTTTTAAACAAAGAAATGCATGCGCACACACATATATTGTTTTGGATCTGTTGCATTCAGATGCTTTGCTCAGCCACAAAACAGAAGACCCAGTAATGAAAACGCATTCCACAAACAATCACCTCCCACAAAGCCAAAACACCAACCTCCACTTGAGAACAACATGTCCCAAATTCCATCCTTTGCACTCTAAAACACTAGAAACACTGAAAACAGGGCTTTCAAAGCCGATACATTATTTATTTATCCACTCTCTCACTTCTATTGCCAGTTTATCTATTCATGAGGCGGCAGGAGTCTGTGAAAGAGGTGGAGTGGAGGATGTTTGTATTTTGAACTTGCTGACACAAATCAGATCAAAAGCTAAAAGTTGAGGCATCTGTGGATGGACTCTAATGGATGCTGTCTGTTGTTGCTTTACCATTACTCATATTGTATTCTACCAGTTTCATTTAGTGATTTTACAGTCAAGCCTGAAGCAGTATTTCATTTTCAGCCGTCTCGGATGTTGGAGGAATTTATTTTATTCGACCTAAAGAGCACTAGAAAACATCTCAAGTTATGTATTGACTCCCGTGTGTCCATGGTCCAGGTTAAGAAAAACTACGAGGCACTGCGTCAGAGGGAGGAGGAGGAGAGGATGGTGCAAAGCTCGCCCCCTAGAGGAGGGGAGGACCCTCAGGCTGTCAACAAATGGGAGAAAGAGAGTCATGAAACTACCAGGGAACTGCTGAAAGTCAAAGACAGACTCATTGAGGTGGAGAGGAATGTAAGTTAGCACAATATTAGGATGGCTTATGTGGCTTTTCCATTATGAATGGTGAACACACACATTTGGTTATTCACTCTCTTTGAATATCCTCTCCTATGTCTTTATATTATGTGTGTGTGTTTCCCAGAATGCCACGCTGCAGGCTGAGAAGGCAGCCCTGAGGAGCCAGCTCAAACAACTGGAAACTCAAAGCTCCAACCTGCAGGCTCAGATAGTGGCCGTGCAGAGGCAGACTGCTTCTTTACAGGAGAACAATACAACACTACAGACACAGAACGCCAAGCTCCAGGTAATCCCCTCCACATCCTACACAACAGTATCCAGTAGGCAACAAATGACTGATTTCTTACAGAGGAATGCATTACAGCTAACAAAGCTACCACAGTTTAGTCAAATCTAACAATCTAATCTGACACACTCAGGCAGATGGACTGCTATCTATGGTAGACACAACAAACTGTTGATGCAACAAAGTGTGTGAAACAGTTTTTACATCAAGATATCACACACTTACTTGACTTATTTCACTTCAAAGCCTTTTCAAAGTGCCTGTAATATGACATAACTATAACAATTTTACATCAAGGTTCAATTAGTAGCTGTTCTGGAGCTTTCAGTCATCATCAACCTTCAGTGGCTGGAAATGTAATTTATTGTTTTAACTCTACTTAAAGATTAAATAATTATTAGGCTAATATCATTGTTTGTTTTACCAGTTGTGTCTCAGATGTCTACAATATAAACAGCATTTGAAACTCATTAGACCCCCAATTCAGATAAGAAAAAACTACCCAAAGAATATACCCATATCTTTTCCCAAGATGCATGCTCTACACAAATATATCGCTAATATAATGAGGACACAATATGTAAAATTAGGAAATAATACCAGAATAATACCAGTATCATTATAGTGCCTAATAGAATGGGATAGTAAAAAACCTAAAATACTTCCTTAAATACCGTATGACACTATGTACTACAAAGTAACATAAACAATTTTACAGCTTAAACACAAAATGCAAAGCTATCCAGCCTTCCTTCGACATTGCTGTTTGTACAGTTGCCTGCTTAGCTGTCTGGATTTAGATTTGTACTCCCTGTTTGGCATGAATCCAAACCCTGCTTATGGGCGACAGGATTTACACTGAACATACAGCAGCTTGAGCTGTTTCTGAGGGTGTTTGTGTACATCTCTTGATGTTTGTCAGTTGTGTGTATGTAGGCAGGTGTGTGTGTGTGTGTGTGTATACTGGAGGTAAATGGTAAATGGTAA